TTGCCTGTTTGTTGTCTCCACTTGCTGCACAGTGCTTCTTCACTTCCTGAATCATCGTCACTGTCTTTCAATACCTGCAACCTGTTGGACACCCACAGCTTCATTCATTCCCTTCCTACTTCTCAAATTCGCTCATTCACTTCCATATACACAATCCAGACACCTCCAGGCAGTGCCTTTTCTCTCTCCCCATGCCCTACATTCCCTGTGCCCAGCTAAAAACTAGCAGGGTATCCTTACTCACCAGCCTCTCTGAAAATCCAAGTTGTTTCCTTTATCCTAAAGAGCAATTCCTGAAAACATGGTATTCTTCCATTGGCTCTAATGACCAAATTAATTTCTTAATTAATTTCTTCTCTTTTAGCATGAGAACCACAGTGCCAAGAAACCCCCAAGTGCCTGGAGTTTCACATGGGAAGAAAAGCTGGTCGGGAATTTAGAAAGAGAGAGTGCTTTGTCTCAAAGGACATATGGTACAATCTTTAGAAGAGAGAAAAAAAAAAAAAAAAAAAAAAAAAAAAAAGAACAGCAACAACAAGCCAAGATAATGACTGAGGAAGGAATTAAATTGAATGGAGGTGACAAATCCCAAAGGCCAATGACAGGCAAGTTTCCTTTGTCCTCATTTCCCCACACAAACCACAGGCATCAGTAAATAAGATTCATTTGCACGTGGCCAGTAGATTCTGAGTAACAGTCAAGCCAAAAACTCACACACCAAGTGTTTTACAGCTGAATTTGTGTTTGGATGGCAGCATGTTGGGGCAGTGCCTCACAAATTGTTCAGAAGTAAGGTAAGTGCTGAGGACGAGCTGAATGTAGCAAAATGCTACATCTGTTATTCGCCAAGGGGAGGCTGCTGCATCTGTGGTTTTGCCACTGACTCCTCAGAGCAAACAAGCTCACTACAATATTCCCCTGAGCAGCAGCTGCAAGAGGATCACTTAAAATTGCATAAAGCATTAATCTGTATTCTGAGACAAGTTTAGTACCACACAGTTGGACACAAGCCAAAGCGTCCCTTATAGTGAAGGAGGAGGAGGAAGGGAAGAAGAGAAAGAAAGGGAAAAAGAAAAGACAGTCCTGTCAGTGGTTTTAAGCTGCCACTTTTTTTTTTTTTTTTTTAATGGAAAAAATTGTTACAAATGGGTTCTTCAACATATGTTATTAATTTTGTTGTACTGGCTTCTTGCCAGTTAAGCATCAGTCCTTATTTCTTTGCTTTCAGTTTTAACTAGCGCAACTCATGAGGTCATTAATGAAAATGGACACAAACTTTTTTCTTGCACACAACTGTTATGGAGCAACTGACTCTTCTGAAGGCTTTTATTTAATAAAAGTTCAGCCTCTCTTTTTAATAGGGAGATGTGCTTCTCAAGAAAATCTGGTGTTTCTACTATAAACAAAGGAACATGTGAAGGACTTCAAAAACATTTACTGGTACTGGCAAGAGTAACAAAATCAGAAACTTTTAAAAACACTCATAAATGTTAAGTAACATTTCATAAAGCTAAGCTGCTATTTACTTTGCTCAATATGTATACGTGTGAGAGACCAAAGCAGCACTGAAACATAACAATGAAAGAGAATGTGGTTTGATAAAAGCATCTACATATGGAAATGTGGACTGAATGTTATTAATGTTTGATTTGGCTAGAAGAGACCTGCAAAATCCACTTCAAGAAAGAATGCCATTTCATGGGTTCCTGCATAAAGCAGCATCTCCCACATTGCAAAAGCCATGCTGAGCTCTTAATCCAGCGTGCACACTTGCTCTATATGAAGGCAGGGAACACAGGCTCATTTGAAGAAAGAACCAGTTTATTTTGCAAGTGGAAACCAGCATTAGTCACACCAGAGAGTGGAAACAGAGACTTGGATCTGCTGTTTCTCTCATGCTCTTGCCCAGGCAGCAATGCAAGGTGCCCTGTGATGGCAGCAGATCTGAGGGGCCAGACTTGATGCGGCTGCTCACAGTGATGCTCCTTGGGCCTCTCAGGCAGCCCTTCCTTGGGCTGGCACATGTACAGCAGCTCCTGAGAAGCTACCCACTGTCATCTCCAGCCCATGAGTCTCAGGTCACCCAAACTAGTTGGGTACTGTCTTGCAGTGGCTATGTGGGTGTCCTTTCACAATGAAGATAGTACTCTACTGGTTGATAAGGCTGTTGGTCTCCACACTACTGGCATAAGCAGAAGACTGTGCTTTTCTGTCCAGCAAATGTGAGGAGAAAATGCTCTACTAAAGGCCTGGCCCAACTCTGCTTTGTGCTTCCCATCTGCCATTTCCACCCAGCTACCTGAGTTGACTGTGGGCACGGTACAGGACCTGTCATGGGAAGTCAGTACCAAATTCCAGCGAGTCTTCAGTACTGTAGCTATCTACTTCATGATACCTATAATGAAACCATCCTTTAGATAGGAAAAAATATATTTTATATTTTTATATTATATATTATACTTACATATTATACATTTATATATATATATAATATATTTACAACCGTAGGTATAGACTGTACGTAAATATGTGGAAAAATAAATACTAACTAAATAGATGAATAACTACATCTTCACATTCAGCGGAACTACCAATAGGCACAAATACTAACAGTAGAAAAACGCATGATCTTATCACTTTTACCCTTATCCTCAGTTCCTTCCCTCTCCTGTTGTTTAATACATTCCTATTACATCATGTCTAAAATCAGATTGCAGGATCAGTATTTTTTTCTGAAATATTTAGCTTTTTTAGGTGAGACCAGTATTTCTACAGGAAAGGCCTTTTTTTCCCCACCATATTTCATACCTTTGCCTGATTCTGCTTCTGCTAAATGAAAAAAATTCTTCTTCTTGGCTTCAAAGAATTTTGGGCTGGGACATGAGACCAGAGATGACAATGTCATCCTCGCTAGATAAAGGAAAATATGTATGTGTATGTATATATAGCTGATCTGCCTGATAGAGAAATTTAAATCATGATGAGAGATTAAAAAAAAAAAATAATGATTCAAATGGAACTAAGGTCTTCTCCTATACCTGAGCAGCCTAATTGCCTACTGCAAATTGCACCTGAAAGAGATACAAGAATACATCTACCTACCCTGAAGATGCAAAGTCCACAGCAGATAAGGATATGCACATGTAATGTAATATCCAGGGCTCTGTTACACACTGCTATGCATGCATACACATTCATAGATATACGCACAGTTTCCAAAGAAAGACAGGTATTACCAGCTTAGAAATAAGAGTTTGGCTAGAAAAAGGATACAGATATCCATATTCACTGTCTATTTCTTCCAAAGAGCTATTTTCACCGATTCACCCTAACTACAGTAAGACATCTTTCTTACATCAGAGAAAGATAGATGAGAAATTAAAACTGGTACACGAGCAATGATGTAACTTAAACCCAAATCTATGTTTTGCTCAAAACTCCTCTGTGCCTGCAATTGACTGCCTATGTTTAATACATATTTATAAAATATAAATTTCCCCCTCCTCTGAGATTGAGAGAATAAGTACTTGAAATTATAAGGAGGCATTTTTAATAGTGTCTAGAGCTCTAGTCTGTGGGTGCCCAACCTTTTGGCACCTTTATGTGAAATTAGCGCATCAGTCTGTTTTGATGACAGTGGCTGCAATTCTCACAGACCTTTCAAGGTGTTCAGAGATTTCTTGACAGAATTTTACTCTTACTATCCTTCATCCTTCAAAACAGTTGATCACAAATGTACATACTGCCAAAAAGTGATGACACAGGTAAGGCATGCTTGTGAACTCAAGGGTATTTCTCGCTGATATGAGAGGGCTTATGAGAGTCTGGTAAAGAGACATGATCAAATTTTGGATTGCAACTCTGTCCATTCCATTTGAAAATTCAGAAGTAATGTATTTACATCAAGTGGCAAGGGAGTTGCAAATTAAAAAAAAAAAAAAAAAAAAAAAAAGATCTTTTTGGCAGTCTTGAAAACTGTTCACAAATTCTTTTCAAAGTCTGAAAAGCACAGCTGCATAGTCTTGCTGTTCACATGACTGCGTTTAGCCAACGTATCAAAATTGGTAAACTTATTTGCCATCACTTGAGCTAGCACCACACTGCACCCAATGACCTGGTTTCAGACGTGGTGGGGTTAATAATGCACCGAAGTTTGGTTTGTGCTGAGGGGCCAGGCTGGGGCATAGCATAGCAGGACAGGGGCAGTCACCATGATGACGGCATAAGGAGGCTGCAATGCAAGCTGTGTCAGGCTGCATGCAGTCTGCCAGCTGCAGGTTGGACATGCCTGCAGTCTAGTCGACATGCAGTTGCTCTGCTTTCATCCTCAGGAAAATTGCTTGTCCTGAAGGTCTCCCAGAAATATCTGTTCCCTAGATCCATTCAGTCAAACATAGCAAGAACAAACTACTGAAACTGGTGAACACATATGCCACAGAACAACTAAATTTAAGATGGCTAGTGCTCTTCAACATTATTTCTGATTGTCTCATTAGTCATCCATGAGAAGATAACGTTTTCACTGGGATCCAGACTTATATTTGTTGTTCAGAATTCACTTCTCATAACTTTAGACATGTGAAAACTTTTTGTCTAAGGGTATGTCTATGTCTGCATTTTGGCTTCAGGCAGCAGCATGATTTTGAAGTGAATCCTCACTTCCTACTATACATTGATTCATTTTATAGAGCAGTTTTAGTGGGATGAAACTGGTTTCCTCTAAAGGAAGCTGTGGATTCTCGTCCACGCAACTGTGATACAAGCTCCAGGAAAAAATTTGCTGAAATGAATGCACCTTGGAAGATGAGAGGACTCACATTTCCAGCACTGTTGTAAAGGATCTGCCCACTGCCTATTTTTCCTTCAAATTCCTTATCACCCAGTGACTCCTTGCAAAGCAAGTCTTGTTCTGTTTGAGAACATTTTCTGGAGCTCCAAGAAGTCACTGTAGCAGTTGGCAAACGCGTAAATGTCACAGCAATTAGATTTTCATTGCCTGTGAAAAATGGTCCTGTATGCTTTTGAAAAGATGCAATTCTTTGGTTTCTGAAAAAAATAAATAAATATATTTTAAGTGCAGTAAGAGATTTTTTGTAATCCTGTACTGTAGTAGAGCATACACTAAGCATCGAAGTTTAATAGAAAAAACTTATAATTTGATTATTTTATTAAATCATTCACTTCTGATTTCAGAGAAGGCTGAAGCCAACCAGAAATACACCATGATTTTGTCATCCATCAAAGATTTATTAGATAACATATTTCACAAATAAAATCCTTTTGTCACATATGCTTGACTAATCTATTAAACAGGCATGACTTCAAAGGGTACATAGGTGCAATAACCAATCCATAAAGAGCAAGTGGGAGGATTGGGACGGAACACTTGCAAATTTAAAGAAAGTGGCATAAACATATGTTACAGAAAGGAGAAAACTACATACATGGCAAAAGGGCAAAGTTGAGTGAATTTCTATTCTGGCTATGCAGATACATACTAGTTCTGGCTATAATTTTTTTAATAGATACACTGTTCTATCAAGATCAGAAGTTTCTGAGGAATGTATTGATTTTAAAAATATTTTGTTCCTAAATGGAATGATAAGATATATGTGCTTTTGGGTCATACTTTAAAATTACGTCTTTGATTTTATGCATTGGGGCATAAAGATTCATAATATCCAAAAAGACAAAAAAAAAAAAAAAAAAAAGAATTGAAATCTATATAGTTTCTTCATCCTCAATGTTTTTAAACAGGCTGGTTTACAGAGTATATTATGGTTCTCGTAACAAATTAATTTTAATATACTAGTCGTTCTTTGCTGAGAAGATTTTTTGTTTGACAAGTTGAGTTACCCAGGCATAGAAGTGCTATTTCAACAGCGTCATTTCTTTATCCCCAGGTAATAGGTACTCTGGAAGCAAAATAAGAAAGCAGTGTCCTAAGTGACTATATTTTGTTTCTGACTTCTTTCTCTGTTATGAGAGAATTCTTTTAACTTTTAAATCCTTTGTGGTACTTTTGTTTTAACTCAGAAATACATTGTTAGATATGGTAAAAAGACTTAATCGTTAAATCATGTACTTGCCATGGGAGAATATTTGTATCCTCAGAAACAAAATTCTTCCTTTTCATTTTGGCACTGGGTCTCTTGCAGTTTTTAATAATTTGCTGTTGAAATAGTTTCACCACAAACAAGTGTGGAAATCAAGCTATTTCTAGAAAAGTTAGGTAAAATCAGGATGAGAAGCAGGCGGCTTCCTCAGAGAGGGACTTTGCCTGTTACATTTTTCCCTTCTCTATCTTCTAAAGACTCACACTTCCCTACTATTTGGAATAAAGAGATATTTAAATTAATCCAAGGAAATGCCAAGTAATTCCCACTCATGGCAGTGAGTGAGGAGAGTTCTAACATTTAAAACCTCCCTGTTGCTCAGCTTGGATTTAACTCTTCATATACCTCTTGCAGATATCCCTGGTTTTCTGTCTGTTTGGCAAGGAATGTTGTAAATACAGACTCACTTCAGAGTTGAAGAGCTGATGTCCATCTCAGGGTTAAAACACATTCTGATTCATCTTGTCCAGGGCTTGAGCAAAGTTTTTAGAGAGCATCTTGAACAGATGAGAGCACTGACCTAGCTACTGTGCTTGAAACCTTAGGGCATCAGCTTAGTTTACCAGGCACAGCATCTCTATGTACTTTTATTTCACTGCTGTTTTACAGCAGGGTATTGTCTTGTACAGTTCTCCTTATCTACACTTTTAATGGGTGTTTATAGTTTGTGGCAAGCAAATAAATAAAACACCCTTTTAGAATTGGAAAGTTGAAATGTAATACATATAAACCAATCAAGGCAATCCTACAATCTGACAATGATTAACCACAACAGCAGCAGAGTAAAGCTACTTATACATACAGAAATTATTATTATTATTTTTTTTTAAAGAAGAAACCCTCACCTTCCAACATTTTTCAGAGGTTAGCTACCAAAAAACTGTTAAATATAGCATGTGTTAGATTTAACTGATCATCAACAATCAACCTGATTTCATTTGCATGAACTTTGAAGTGATTTTATGTTGACTGTGTGATGTATGCATGCACTCCTGAGGCCCTCCAGCCCAAATAGGCTGCTAGCTTCCCTGGGTGCCCTTCCTCCCCTCCCGCACAGCCCAGCCTGGAATGCTGCGGTTTTGCAGTCCAGACGTATATGTGGTTGTTGGTTTGGGGCTTTTTTTAAAATGAATAGGGCTCGTAGAAAGCAAAACAAATACTGCGAGTTTGCATGTAAAAACATGGCTTGAAGATTCCGGAATAAGATTAAAATAAGAATACGTTTTTAAACTCCAGTTCTCTTAACTGTCTGAATATTCTTCTTTGCCTGGAAATAATTGAAAAATATTTCACAGAAACAATGCCATTTGTCATGAGAGCTTATTGGAAGAATAGTAGGGTCCACTCTAGTATAATCTTAGAGTGGCTCATCAACAGAATTTTTTGAAGTTCCAGTGGGCAAGTATATAATAAAAACAAAATCAAAGTGGAGAGTATTATTTAGAATACTATTTTTAAGGGAATATCACACTCATTAGAAGCTAAATGGGCACCTGTTGTCAGCAACTGCACCCTGATAGACATGCTGAATATTTGTTCTTCAGAACATTTTAATCTTGAGAACATGTCCACATGTACCTATTCCAGGCAGATCAGTAATTCCCACTGACCACCTCACTGCTTGGCTACATGCAAGCTCTCTGACATGTCATAGAATCTCATACAATTATTTTCTGTCTCTATGGCTGTTAACACTTCACAATTGTGGTGGGCTCTGCCTTTATAGATCAGAGATTTCCAAAGATGATTAGTCACACCAGAAGCAGGCAGTTCTGGAAAACTCAGAGTGTATTATTAAGCATCTTCCAGCTCTGCTTAAGACATTTAGGAGAAGGGATAGTCAGGATGCTTTGCACTGAGCTTCAGAACACCCTTGGGTTTGCTTGGCATTGCTACATGCTGGGCAGTCACAGTCTTGTGGAGAAGAAAGGAACTTCTCTACTGCATGTTGGATTTGCTATGTAATTCCTTTGACGAGTATGACACCTCTGCTAGTTATAATATACTAATGAAAAAGCAGTTTACCATTGCAAGGCAACACAAATTTACTCCAACCAGTCTTTCCTGAGCCTTTTGTTTTCAGCCTATTTAACTTATGAGCCACGGAAGGCATACAGTGAGTAAGACTGTGTCCAGGTGTGCCCAGACAGCAAACTGCAATTGTCTTTAGGTAACAAAGGGGCAAAAGTTCAAAAGAAAAGGATGCTTTATACTGGACAATAGATAATTCAAATTGCTTATATTTGACTGGAGTGGGATAGAGCGGCAGGGAAACTGAGTTTAAATGGCTGTAACATTTACCTAATGTATTTCTATTCAAACCAAAGGTGACAAAAGAGTAGTACTTTCATTTCCTTTCATCTAAACTTTGATTTTGAAGAATATCTATTGGTTCATTTAGCTTTGGATGTACAACAAAGGAATAAGCAAACCTGCATATAGACAGATACATATAAATATATCATTATTGAAGTTCCTATGTAGGGAACACATAAAAAAGAAAAAAAAAAATATCAGCCAGAAAAGAACGAAGTAAATATGATGGCAAACATTGCTGACAGCCAACGCCTTTCACATTTTCCCATCATTGCTGACTTTTTGTTGCTCTCATGACACTGAGCTAAATCCCCAAATACTTATTTTTAATGTAACAACTACACCATTAGATTCTCATTCAAGAGGATGACTGTGATGAGTACCTTTAGTAAGACATGTCAAGATATTAACTATTAATAAGCAGGTTTTTCGCAATATGAACTTGCAATAAGTAACAAATTTTTTAAAATTCAGTTTTTGTCAGACTGACATGAAGTTATCCCCTAGAAATAGGCATCTTCTCCACTTTATGACAATACAATTTGGTGCTCAAAAAGAGCTTTTTTAATTGGTTTTTGAAGGCTGGAGTAGTGACTACAAACAAGTTTTACTTCCTCTGGGGGGTTCATTGCTCTCATGCAGCTGTTGTTTCAGTCTTTCATACAGATTTTGTAAAAAATGTAATAGACACTTCCTTACATATAGCTGTTCATGGGATCTGGAATGACAGGGTGGGCACATTACAGTAAATGGTGTTCAGAAAGAAATGTTGTGAAAACAAAGAAAGCCACATAGGAAAACACTGACAAAACCACGCAAATATGTGGCTTATCTATTTTGTCTATTTGCTTTCTTTATGTTTTGGAGGTTTTCACAGAGCGCATGTGGCTCTCGCTTCCAGGCACACAGTATGCAGTTTCAGGATTCTCTAAATGGAGAGAGTAGTCTAAAAACTGTGAATATAATTAGATATGGAATACTTTTAACAGCTGGAGGGATTTCACACTTACAGCCCAATTTACAAAACTTTGGGCTTGGCACTGTTTCAACACTAGCACTGGAAGTAATAATTTCGCTGGCATTTTTTGGCTCCTGAAATTATTTATGTCTATACATATATCATTTAAAAATCACACACGCAAAAAGAAGCCATCTTATTTCTTCCTGGTTAATGGTAAATGAGCAACTTTAAAAGAAGTATCAAAGAGAATTTAAAAAAGAAAAAAAAAAAAAGCAATCTGACACAAGGCCCATGCCTAACAGTTTACAGCTAATTTCTCTCCCTGCTTACAAAAGGTCTCATGTAGTTTCCTGCATTACTGAAAATGTTTTAGACATTTTTCTCATATTATAATGGAGTGAATTTGATCAACAAAAAAAAAAAAAAAAAAAAAAAAAAAAAATTAGCAAGTATGCAGTGCATCATATACAGGAGCTAGAAAAGCAGATGCATCAAAGAGGTGAACCAGATACCATTTCTGAGATGAGACCTAACAGGGAGTGAAAACAGCAAGAATGCAAGAGACAAATAATAAATAATAAAAACTGTAATCTATTATTTTCTCTTTACTTGGATGTGTTTTAATAGTAAAATAGTATTGAGCCTATATGGAGTTCCTATCTTGTAAGAATCCCAACCAGCACAGTTCCTGCATGATTTACTCTCATTTTCAGGTTTGAGAAATTTAGAAAAGTCACCTCATTGAAACATGTTCAGTAGTATCCCTCTCAAATGGGAATTGTATTTCTCACTAAAACAGTGTCTTAATGAACATGTAGCATCCTGCAATGCAATGGAAAGCGCAGCAATGACAGCAGAGCAGAAAGGTCCTAGGCTGCAACAGTTGAAGATTTGCTCAAATGCAACATCTGTAAGCACAGAAATAAGGGAAAGATGTTACTTACCATCAAAAGACCTCAGGTATGCACAGATCTTCAACAAAATACCTGCACAGATCCCCAATACCTTACCTCCACTGCCAACCCTTAAATGAGGTATGGGAAGGGGTGGATACTGGCTCCACGCCTTCTGGTCACTCAGGTGCATTGCATGCAGCTGAGCTCTCCTGAGTTGGCCCTGCTTTCCTATCAAGTGCTTGATCATTGTTTCAGGCCGTGACTTGGCATTTCTGCTACACATCCCAGGGCTGTTAAGTCCACATTAGAATAAAAATACATGTTTAATCATTTAATAGTCACTAACACCGATACAGAAAGAAATAATGCCGAAGAATTAGATTGTGATGATACCAAAACAATGCTCTCTAAAGCATAGGCCATTCCTGGAAAAAATATACCAGGTAAGGTCCTGATACTAGTGCAGACCTATGTTTTGCATTACATAACTTAAAAGTTCCCACTGAGTTTTTACACAGTGGTACAAATGTATGCTCTGTTTGCAACCAGTGAAGGGGAAAGATATTCCTGTACTTCTTTTAGGGTTTGCAGAATATGTTTATGACTGCAGGCTCCTTTGCTACACAGCTAATCTTCTATTAATTTAGGACTATGGAAGATGGACCTAAAAGAGAGACTTGTTGCACTGCACAAACTCTTTTAGGTTTGCAGTTGCGCAGTTGGGAGAAATCTCATGGGAGCAATTAGCTCAGTCAATATTCATCCATTCAGTGATTTTTTCCTTCAACTTCTATCTTTCCTGTGCCCCAAGTGACTCACACAATATCTGTCTATGAGGACCTGTGGCCCACAGAATTCAGCCTTTACCAAACATGAAGATAACAGACATGAATTTGGTGAAACAAACAGCTACCACAAGGAACCACCACCACAGAAAGTCATTTAATGCCACATGCCAAGTAAGCATCCCATTGAGAAACATTTGTCTTCACTATGTTTAGGTGTGTTTCATATGGGCAATGAGGTAGCAAGAGGTTCAAGGTAATTTCAGCAGCATCCCATGACATACAGTGTCTGGGATTTGCCCTTTTGGAGAACGCTGACCTCTCTTCATAATTTCAGCCACGATGGGGATTCATTGGGCTGTTGCATTATGAATCAGTGTATTCCCTATAGTTACAAGCATACTTTAATTCCTCCCCCAGTTCCATCTCTGGAAACAACTTTTAAATTTTACAAAACTGAATGCTGTAGTAAAAAACAAAAATTTTATTCCAACAGATTTCTCTGTACTGCCAAAATATATACTTTCACCATTAATTACTACAGGGCTTACCGCATACTCCTATTAACTACAGTGACAAACAGGCTACAACATTCTTCAATACGAGGAGACAAGAAGGAAAGGCCAAAGATGAAATTCTTAGTTTATCCATATGTTCAATATAAAGCATGTATGTATTGTATCACCATTAAAAAAGAAAGTGGATAATCTGAGAAAAGTTGTGTTTGAGTACATACTGAGAGTAGCATATCTTTATTGCTAGAGAAAAATCACTACAGAAAAAGATCTGTTAAGGATTATTTAGGTAAAATAGTTACAGGAGCAAGAATTGATTTTACTTGCACCCAAGTCTGCAAAAATCAAGGAATAATAAGGGCATATATTTATAACTCTGTCTGTCACATCTGGATTATTGAAACATTCTTGTGTCCGATCCAAAGCCTTCTAAAATCGATCTCTCCTCAGCCTCTGGATCATGTGTGTATAATCAAATACACAGATAAATTTTTACCAGATCAGGACATAAAAAAACTACTCTTCCTGCTCCACCCCACATCTAATAGCTTTCATCTCCTTCCACAGGCCTTTGCAGACATTCTCTTAAAAATACACTGCTGCCCTTTCCAACAAATAATTGAAAAGGAGCCTGCACAGTCTCCTGCAGTCCTTCTATAGCAGTCACAGATTCCCTTACCAATGTCCCACTCACATTTGCCAGCACTAGGCACCCACTGTGACCTTGCCTTGTGTTCTTGGCATGGAAAACCAGGCCAGACTTGCTGGGCTTTCCCACAACCCCACCAGCACACTCCTGCAAGCCATACTTCTCTCTTTCTGTTTTTATTTTAGCACCTGTGATGGGGGAGGAGAAACACAAGATATCCATGTGCCAAACAAAGGATGGATCAGGTGTCAGCCAGCAATTGTCTCTGCTAAGGAGGCAATGTCAGGAGCTGGCGAGATCAAACGCTGGGAGGAAATATGGTTGTAATATCAATAAACACCTGTCTGGTATTACTCTACCTGTTGGACTTCTCCCAGCAAGATAATTAATCACCTAGACCTGGCAAAACACTTTCCTAAGCTCCACCATCGTATACATTACAAGGTCAGTCTGAACCTGCTCCAAAAGCTGTGCTGGAGAGATCAGAAGCCATGGATGTAAGGGGGATGGCAGCTCCCATCATGGCCTCTGAGCTGAATCAAGATGGGGCATGTGAGAGGACAACAGGCTTTTGGGGCACAGCAGCATCAGAGCAGAAGGGATGCAGACAACGGATGTATCCTGCTACCAGCCAGGCAGCTTCTTAGGGTCTGAGCACCTGCAACCAAGCTAGAGTGAGGGATTTCTAGAGTGAGGAATTTCTCTTCATACTGTCTGGTTTGTCTGACCTGAACTTACTGCTGGGCCTCAGGGGTTTCAATGCAGTGCACTCTGAAGTACCAAGTGGTGTACAACAAGGGTGGTGAACATGTATGTTGCAAGTATGCTGCAGAAGTTTTATGCACTCAAGAGTTAACATCCAGAAGAAGCCTGAAGGACAGCAGGGAGTGCCCAAGCAGCAACTGGGATGGTAATCACCCAGCAGCATAGCTGCTAGAAAACCAAATACATTAACTCTCAAATGCACTAAGCAGAGGAGACAGCTATTTACTTCAGCCAATTGGCAATAAAAATGGAAAAGACACAGAAAAATTCCACTTAAATTCTCCAGGCCACACTCACAGTGCACTGGTATCCTCCCTACAAGTTCCAACACACTCCAGTGCTGCAGAGCACTGCTCCATGCTGTGCAAAAGCCCATGCCCAGATTCACAAATATCGCTGGGAATATCATGGACAGCATCCAGCTCCTTGGGAAACTTCTGTGGGATTACCTTAAACACACCATTTCGCAGAATCAGAGCTAGACTGAGCCATCCAGTCCCCCTCATATGAAATTGGTTGAAGTGGGTTTGCATGAGGAGCACAGCAACAGGACATGACTTGTGGAAACATGCTGGTGTTAGCTTCACCTGGCTTATCTGGGAGACCAGAGAAGTGGCAGTGCTGTAGAGCAGAGCCTACAGGTCTCTGGAGAGTCCCTGGCTGGTGGCATGGGCCAGACTCCAGTCATTCTCTTACCCTGCCTGCAGTCTCATGCCAGCCTGGTGCTGCTCTCCCATTTGTGTCTGGCTCTGCCTACAAACCCTGATTGGGCCACACAAACAACAACACTGGCCCATTGGAAACCACCCAAGCATTAAAACTCCTGAAGTAAAATTTAAGCCTGTGATCAGGATGAGGCCTAATGTGTGTGGAGATTATCCCACATCTGCTTGCTGTGGTACACCAACATCTGCTGAGCACCTGGCAGGGGTCTCAGCCAGACTCAGCCTGCAGATCTTATACTGTTACTCCTGAAGTCCTTTTCCTTGCTCAAGTGGCGGGACGTCATCGAATATATATTTCTAAGACAGATTGGCCCTAATTGAATAGCATGCACAGCAGGCCAGGCTGAAGACACCAAGCCAGCAAAAATCACCTGTACCCAGCTCCTGCAGCTTACATGCAGGACTCCTGCCAGCAGCACCAAGTCTTGGACCAAGCTATGCCTCCCACTGCGTTTGAGAAGAGAGTGTGTGTGAGGGCCATAGCCACTGTCATCAATTCTTGAGGAGTAACATGGAACAACATGGACAGGAACTGAAGCTAGCAAAAGGTTCAGGTCCAGGGTTAAACTCCCAATATTTCTCCAGATACCAGAATTTGTCCCATATAAACAAACAGCATACTAGCTCCCCCCTTCACTGCCTCATTTAGCTGTACCTAGGAGCAGCACAGTAGCCCTAAGGTAGAATATTCATTAATATCAAACTTGCAGCTCTTTGCTTTCATGTGCATGCTGAACATATTTGTGTTTCACTTAGACATACAGTCTTCCAGGCTTCTTTCTGCAGGTTCAAGCCTACAGTCACTAACTCTCCTTCATCTGCAGCATAGTAGGTTGCAGTTATTGTAATAAAATAGCTGTGATCTTCAGCAACTGCAATAGAACATTGTCTTGAGATCAATTTCCTTTTACAATAAAGTCTTGGCTTTGCCTCAGCATTTATGAAGTGGCGGGAGGCCGTTATCCATTGAAATTATCTCTTTCATATACTATACCATAAAAATATTGCCCTCTACGTGTAGTGTTATAAAGGTATTTGGCTGACTGACTTTAACCACCCAAGAAGAGTAATAAGTTAGTAATCCTCTGGAAATGCATAGCCTGGAGTGTGTTATTGCAGCTAGTACACAGTGCACTCTACAAAAGCAAATTGAAAAAACAATTAGATTTATGCATTTACAATCCTTGATTTATACAGCTTTCACATAAATCCCTGAGTTAGAAAAATACACCATTGGATTAGCAAACCACATTATACTAGCATGGCTTGCAATGTCATTTTGCTGAGTTATTTACAACGCCAACAAAATCAGTGATAGTTTTGAGCAAATTCCTGTTGTTAGAGGTGCTACGAGTAAGTTGTGCATCTAAACTTTCAGTGTGCAGAACAAATGCAATCAGGTTATAACTTGGAAAGAGATCTCAGGAGAGATTCTTGGACCAGTGTCTGAGGATGACCAGCTCCAGTGAGCTCTAAAATTGCATGCAACAGAAAACTTTTATCAATGTGTCACAAGTACAATCTGGTGTCAGTAATGGTCAGAAGAGGTATCTTTTTTTGAAAACACTATCTAATAAAAGGCTTATTTGCACTGTGATGGAGTAACTTTTGTGTTCACTAGCAACCCTTGTTAAGTGTTTCAAGGGATG